CTTGGTGGCAAAGCCTGAAAGTGGTCAGTTTAATTGTTGTTAACAAATTGAATGTTTAAATGGCTGTAAAAAGTTTATTTTTATAGCTAGTACAATTTTTTATCTGTTAATTATTACGTTTTCTCACAACAAACATATATTTTTTTGAAAATTAAAAAAAGATTAACTTTAACCAAAGTTATTGCAAATTTAGTGCAAATATATTACATTTTCCGTCTCTGCGCGCACCAATTTTACCATATCTCTGGTTCAATTGGACGGATTGAGACGCACATCTCATTTTAAAACTTAAACTTTATTTTACAAGATAGGTAAGTTCCATTGATTAATTAATTTATTTAAAAATTAATGGCAGCTTAGAAAGTTGTGGAATTTCAACGAAAATGTTGGCTTTATTGGTTTATAAAACTTTTTTTGTTATTCAATTTTTATGAAAAGCCAAAAAAGTTACCGGTTATTGTTCCTCGCATCCTAACAATGATTTCATGCCTTGCTTGATTGTTAGAATGCAAAGAACAATATCCGGTAACTTTTTTGGCTTTTCGTCGAAGTTGAATAATAAAAAAAACCTTATAAACAATTAAAACCGGCATTTTCGTTGAAATTTCACAACTTTCTAAGATGCCATTAATTATTAAATAAATTAATAAATAAATGGAACTTAGAACCAGATATGGTAAAATTAGTGCGCACGGAGACGGAAAATGTAAGAAATTTGCACTAAATTTGCAATAACTTTGGTTAAAGTTAATTTTTTTTAATTTCCAAAAAAATACATATTTGTTATGAGAAAACGTAACTATTAGCGAATAAATTGTACTAGCTATAAAAATAAACTTTTTACAGCCATTTAAACATTTAATTTGTTGATAACAATTAAACTGACCACTTTCAGGCTTTGCGACCAAGTTTCTTTGGATTCAAGAGGTCAAATATTTAAGAATAAGTTGTTTGCACATCGGGCTCCTGGACTATATGGTGCACGTGTGCAAATTAAAACTGGGTTAAAAGGTTACTGAACCACAGGTTACCCTAGGTCGGAAACACGTTTTTTTTATGGAATATACAAGTCTCTCTTCTAATTGCAGTCAATATTTAAATACTGCATACAATTTACAATTTACAATTTATCCTCTCTTTATAATTTATCTAGTGAGTGTTGGTTTTTTATGACATTATTTCTGTAACGAAATTTATTTACTAATTTTCTCTTGACATTCTAAGCGCCATTTTTGCAACGTTGCCCGGATTATTTAATCGACCGCAAAACACCCACATTTCTGTAGTAAATTTTATTAAAATGTTCTAATCCTCTGTATCCCGACAATTTCTACAAATGTAGATACATTATGTATGACATTACCAGAGTAATCAAATCATTTTGTTCCTTCATTATATGACATTACAAGTGTAATGAAATAGTTATTTGTGGCCTGTCCGCTTTTAATTTGAACATTTGGCAACATAATTTCGGCCATCTTCATTCGATTCATTCCTATCAATTCATATTTATTCGTGACGTTGGTAAATTGTAGTGGAAAGTTGAGTGTCATTTTTATAGTATTACGTACGTAATATTTGCATATGTTTCAGTGTATTTTACTTATATTTAAGATACATAACATAAATCGTACTGAGACATTGTTATGTATATAAAATATACAGCTATCAGACAAGGACCAACGAATTTTTGATTTGAGGTTTATATTAATAGATCACTGGCGTCCGCGTTTCTAGAAAGGTTGTTTGCACAAGAAACATATAAATACCATTTTGTTTTGTCTTCCTAAATTAATAGCAATTATTGTGTCAAGATCTGAACAAGGATCTATTAACTGAAAAAAGTAAACGATAAAAATTACTGACTAAAAATAAACTAAGAATTTTTTATTGCTAGTTGCTACATAAATTATATGATGTGCCTATGGTTAATTTAAAAAAATATGTGGAACATTCTTCGACATTATTATTCCCTCTATTATTGATTCCCTGTCCCTTCACCATCAAGTAATGTTGTCAAGTAAACAAAAGCTATTTATGAATGACTTACCTTACGTCATATGGATAATTTAGTTACTTATATGCCTTACGTAGTCTATTTTATATTAGAAGTCTGTGTATGAAACATAATAGACCGGGAGATATTAGACTGAAGTTCGACGACGTCTTTCTCGTTTATTCCTCTGAGAGTACTGAAAGGTAACCGAGAGACAAGTACAATAAACTAAATTTAAACATACAGCGACGTATTTCTCACTTATGCCATGTTCGTAAGTTGAAGAGAAGTATCGAGTTTATCACGAAATTTTTTTGGCATAAGTGTCGCAAGAGACCTAAATATGGAAAACTTTGTAAGAAAATGTGGAAAAACATCTTTATTTGTCTACCAATTTCTCATTAATGCCAATTAGAAATATGACATTATTATATTCGAAAAGCTCATAAAAAACATTGGCATAAGTCCTACTAAGGACTAAAGAAAATAGGGCTTTGGAAAAGCTGCGGAAAATTTTTCGTTTTGGTCAACGTTTTTCTCGTGAATAAATTAAAGCTTATTGCAAAGAAAAAAATGAAAGTATTCATTTTTTTTAAAGGGCATAAGTCCCTGGTGAGGACTATATGCTAAAAATTTTTTGAAAAGTTGTAGGAAAATTCATGAAAATTTTTACGTCTTTCTCGCTTATGCCATTTTGCATGCACGTAGGAAACTACATTATAAAGTCATATAAATGTAGGCATAAGTCCACATTGGATTTTCATGTTGTAAATTAATTTGAATTTTAATACGAGTCAGGTCGACAAAGTAGAAAAATAATAGAAAATTGCCACAATTTTCTCGTTTATGCCGTTTCGTACACGAGTAGAAAATATTACTAAAAGCCATTTTCAAGAGTGGCATGAATGCCACAAGGTACCGTCGTATGTAAAAATTTTTAAAAAGTTTATTTCATCGCCTACGCAATTTTCGAAATACTTATACTTACTTGCATTTAGCGTATTTTTAATTTTTATAAATATAAGTAATTCATGTATTTAATGAAAGTTAATAATAAACTATTTCGGCTTAAGTCCCCACATATTAGAAATGATTTTTAATTATTCTTTGAGTCATGATCAGAAAAAGAAAAATTATATAATATTGCCACAAATTTCTCGTTTGTTCGTAAATGAGTAGAGTATTTTATCACAATAGACCATACGTATTTATGAACAATATATTTAAATTTTAAAAATTAAAAATATTATATAATTTGAATTAACCGCTTCAGTGCAAGGATGATCTACTTGAATTGAGCCGACTAAGGTAGAAGAAGAAGAAGAAGAAGAAGAAATAATTAAGCTAGAATACATAGGGAAGAAACTGATTTATAACTGATTTAATATCATGTATATTGAATTTTGTTTTTTGTTTCTGGTACTTTGTACCTTAATTACTTAATTTGTACTTTTATACATTTTATTTTTATATTAAAAGATTTATTTAAGTAATAGTAATTGAATTGAAAAACCGCTGCCAACTCAATTGTCAGAATGCTTCCTCAAAGACTTTGAATTACTAATTTTTAATTATAACTAACACAAACAATAACACTTAAAATAATACAAATTTTTATTAACTTAAAATTAAAGCATATCAAAAATAAAAAGTTTTTTCGGTTTTATGATTTTTTACATTTTCAAATTTCAAACAGTTTTATCTGCAGCTCTTGATGAAAACGGATCAAAATAAAGGCCTTACTACCAGCTTTATTATAAGTTATTAAGAATTATCGTAATAAAAAATAACATGTCGAAAAATCAAACTAAACCCAATATAAAGCTTTCTCTTTTTCATGAAATTTTTTTTATTTTAAATTTTTTATTCCCTTTTATAGTTAGAAATATTCATTTTTTATATAGATATCTTCTCCGACACTTGCATTATTTATCATACATTTTTTAAATTAATTTAAGTATATCGAAAATTGCGCAGGCGAGGAAATAACCGCAATTTGTAATTTTTGACAACTTTTTAAAAAATTTTACATACGACGGTACCTTGTGGCATTCATGCCACTCTTGAAAGTGGCTTTTAATAATATTTTCTACTCGTGTACAAAACGGCATAAACGAGAAAATTGTGGCAATTTTCTATAATTTTTCTACTTTGTCGACCTGACTCATATTAAAATTCAAATTAATTTACAACATGAAAATCCAATGTGGACTTATGCCTACATTTATATGACTTTATAATGTAGTTTCCTACGTGCATGCAAAATGGCATAAGCGAGAAAGACGTAAAAATTTTCATGAATTTTCCTACAACTTTGAGACTTATGCCTTCATATTGAACCCATAGAGGAGTGATGCCTACTTGACACAGTACATTATTTATAGTAAGTATCATAAATTTTCAACGGCATAAATGAGAAAGTTATAGAATGAAAATAAAAATTTTCCGCAGCTTTTCCAAAGCTCTATTTTCTTTAGTCCTTAGTAGGACTTATGCCAATGTTTTTTATGAGCTTTTCGAATATAATAATGTCATATTTCTAATTGGCATTAATGAGAAATTGGTAGACAAATAAAGATGTTTTTCCACATTTTCTTACAAAGTTTTCCATTTTTAGGTCCCTTGCGACACTTATGCCAAAAAAATTTTGTGATAAAATCGATACTTCTCTTCAACTTACGAACATGGCATAAGTGAGAAATACGTCGCTGTACACATTATTTTTTTGAAAAGGAAAATTGAATTTTCACGAAGGTGTCCCGCAGTCCATCTTCTAAATTTAGTTTATTGTACTTATCTCTCGGTTACCTGTCAGTACTCTCAGAGGCATAAACGAGAAAGACGTCGTCGAACTTCAGTCTTATATCTCCCGGTCTATAAGGTTATGCAACTCAACAGTGCAAATTTAAAGTTGAATTATTTTTCATCAGATTTAGGAAATGTTTAAATAACAAGGTTTGCGTTCAAAATTTTCCCCATGGTATTTAAAAAAATTATACAGAGGTCATTTTTTAAATTATTTATTTAAAAATTATGTGTTCATATCCCTAGTATAGTGGAATCACAAATGGCAATCTACAAATATAAAATACAGGTTACTGATTATGAATTATTTTAATAGAGGTTTGATGGCATTTTCAAGTTTAATGGTATCCGCGGCAAATTTTCTGATACCGTCCGAAAGTTTGTCTGTGGCCATTTGATCTTCATTTAGCAACCACCTAAACTTAGCTTCTGTTATTTCAAGTTTTTCCAAATCTGACTTCATTGCCTTTTCTTTACTTAACTTCCTTGGGACGGGATCGTTGCTTGCTTTTAATTCACTAAGCAGTTTTGGATTGATGGTCAAAAGGTCACAACCAGCCAAAGCCTTAACTTCATCTGTGAGTTAACATCAGTGTTATTAATAAATATTTTCACAAAAGAATGAGACTACCAAGGTCAATATCAATATATACCCACCTATGTTACGAAAAGATGCCCCCATCACAAGAGTTTTATATCCAAACTTCTTATAGTAGTTGTAAATTTGTGTTACAGAGACCACTCCAGGATCTTCGTCGGCGGAATATGTTATTTGACAACTGTCGTTTGCCATATGCCAGTCCAGGATACGGGCAATATATGGCGATATCAATGTAGCTCCTGCTTCGGCGCAAGCTACCGCTTGGGCAAAATTTAAAAGCAAAGTCAAATTACATTGGACTCCATGTTTTTCTTCCAAAACTCTAAAAACATAAGTTTCAGTAGTATCAAGTCTTTATTTACAAGAGGTTATTCATACTTGGCCGCCTGAATTCCTTCCCAGGTTGACGCCAGTTTGATCAAAATACGTTCCTTTGAAATACCCTCATCCGCATAGAGTTGGATAATTTTTAAAACTTTTGCGATACTTGCATCTTTGTCGAAAGATAATCTGAAAATGGTTTTCATCATATTAGAAAGGTATAAAAAGTAGAAAATTTTTTATAATTTTTCTCATTGGAACTAATGTATTGTTAGTATTATTACAATAGTTTTTATTTCATAGGGCGAGGGGTAAAAAATTCAACTTTCAGGAGTCATAGGTCGAAAACAAAGGACTTTCAGACTCCGTGACATTTTTTATCCCCACGTTCAGAACCATCATCACAAAGCAAAGTTTCAAAAACATTAGTCAAAAGCCGCTTTCCATAAGAAATGTTTGATTAATTAGAAGACTTCTTAGCCATGGGCGTAGCTAGGAGTTTTTCTGGGGGTCCCCACTCCCAGAAAAACCACGGCCCTTCCCGCCCTCTGCCTACGCACATGTTCTTAGCCCTTCAGAAATAATTTTAAAATGTTTCATTTACTTCACTACATTGAGATTTCAACAAATCTAGATTACACTTTTTATTTAATGTGAACGGTTAAAATTTTAAATCATCCCGGCTTTCAAATTTATTAGAAAATTTCAAATTAAGTTAAACATGACTATTATTTGAGAAGTATTTTTTTAAACTATTTAATATTATTCAAACAACACATAATATTTAAGTAAGTACACTAACGCAGAAAAGTACTTTTAAATTTCTTGTGTCACTTGCCTTGCCATGCCACAGGCCACAGTAAACAAAATTAAACAACATAACTTAAGCTCACAAAATATTTTTGTGATTAATCATTATACATACGCAGGACATTAGACAAGACCAAGACGTTCATAAATAAACATTCTGCAAAGATGAATGTTGTAAATAACAGTGATTATCATTATCTTATTTATTGTCAATAGCGTCGAAAATTGTTAATCGCTTGGTACCTATTTTATAAGGAAAACAAAAAGCAGTTAGAAAAAATCTTGTGTCGTGAGAGCGTTATTTTTAAAAAAAGAAAGATCAGGGGCCTATTTTTTGAAAGTACTTTTCAACTTATTTTCACTTTTCATTTTATAAATGTAGAAAAGCGAAGAATGTAAGAAAAAATGTATTTTACATTTTGTATATTTTATTTTGAAAACGGAAAATAGCCAGAAAAGTGAAAAGTAAGGAGAAAAAAGTTGAAATGTACTTGCAAAAAACAGGCCCCAGGGCTCTTATCATAATTTTGTAATGGAAATGAGATTACATTATACTAATAGGTATTTTAATTACTTGCGAACGGAACTGGACGGAATGCACATGCGCAGTTTGTCAAAATTATTGCGATAATCGCCAAAAATAGAAACCGTTTCTATTTTCCCGCCCCCTACATTTAAAGTTTTGCGATTCACGCAATATATTGAAATTAAGAAATGGATGGCAAAAATATTTTATTTCAACCAATCAAATTGAAATCCGCAAATCACTACGCGTGACTGAATTTGAATTTTCGTCTATTTATTTGTAATATACCTTCATAAATGATTATAAGGCACGTGACCAGTAATTTTGTTTGAAATACGTTCGCAATTAAATTTCGATAAAATTAAAACAATAAGATCAAGATTATATTAAAATGCAAAATTCTGTTTTCAACCAATCAGCGATCGCATTATCTCGAGCGTAGACCTAATTATGGGGATTTTTTGGTTCAAAATCATTAAAATTTAATTATCTTTTAAATATTGCACATTTTCATCTACAGTAATGTGTGACATTTGTAAATATGATGAATTTATACAATAAATAAACTATATATAGATAGCACTGAAAGAGATGCTCTAAAATACAATGTATGAAATTTCTATGTAGCTTTGGCAAGAACGCCAATATTTACATCAATGAGATAGAAATAATGCTTTTCCACGGCTGTAGTCTGACTTGTCACTTCAGGTAACAAATTTACATTTATTTTTCAGTATCGTGACTGTGTAGTCTCCATGATCGCGACACTAGATTAGATTAAGTGAAAAATAGGTAAATATTTTTTTCTTGCAAATAATTACCTACATGATTCTAGGCATATTAATTTTGTGTAATTTCTAAATACTTCTTCGTTTTCAAACTAAATATGTTAAAAACAATAATGCTTATTTAAAATATATATATAT